GGGGCTTGGAAGGGGGAGTGAAGTGTATTATTGTGGGTGAGGGGGGGTGTATTATTATGTGTGCGGGGGGGAGATTGGAATGGGGGGCAGTGTATTATTATGTGTGCGGGGGAGATTGGAATGGGGGGGGGTCACCTATTTTTCAGGTGCGAATAGGGATTCCGGTGTCACAAACGTGCGTTTTCCTGCAGCAGGAATCCCTAATCTGGCGTTTACATGCAGCAACTGTCACCCAATCAAGTCAATGGTCAGGTGACAGCCGCTGCACGTTACAAAAACAATCACTCTCCCTGGATACACAATTGTGTATCATGGATAGCGATTGATTCCTAACTGCATGTAATCCTTTCACATATGATTACGTGCGGTGTGCAGGCGTGTATGGCATTGTGCCATTAAATGGATTATTGATTTATTACTATGGTGTGCTGGTGACATTATTTTCTTCTTCTGTGGTATACACGGTGCCGTCCGTGGTCACTACAAGCACCCACCCATACTGGTTCTCTCCGGTAAGGAGTGCAGCAAGACCTCTGGTTCTTAAATTGAGTTTGAAACCCCTGGTCTAAAGGGTCCCTGAGGGCCACACAGTAATTTATCAGAGTGTAATATCCCATTATGGCCACTAGATGGTGCCAAACGAATCATAGAAAATATTTATTTCCTATGCGCCTTTAGTGCCATCTAGTGGCCAAAATACAATATTACAATTTTCTACAGACACCCTCCAACATCTGGTGCTGTGGAAAGCCTTCCCAGAACAGTGGAGGATCTTATAGCTGCACATGGAAAGGGAGGAGGGTTACCTCCGTAAATATGCCAATGGTTTTGGAATAGGATGTCCAACAAGCTCACAGAGATGTGACGGTCGGGTATCTACGAACATTCGATCGTATAAAAGTTCGATGAATCTTCTTTGCTCTCTTTCATGCTCTTGTGTTGTCTGAATATAAAAGCAGCATGTCCTCTCTCAGTAGCCCTGCACCGGTCCCGATACCTATTCCTCTGAACTTCTCCTTCCAGGTCCTGTTTCGCAGAGCTGCAGTACGGCTACCTCAGCGTCTGGTTGAGTCTGGACTACCTGTGTGACATTCTGTACATCCTGGACATCGTGGCCAGCTTCCATACAGGTCTGAGCGCCATGACACTCTATATCGGTTCATCCTGCGGGGTGTGCCTGCTCACAGGTTGTGTAAGAGAGAGACACAAGAAGGAAACGTAGGTTAGAAGAAGCAGCTTGAATCATGGAAGTCAAAACTTCCAGTGAACGCGCCCAGTTCTCTACGGGTTGGAGATTGCTAACGAGCAACAATTCCCTTCACCGTGTGACTTGATTCACTACAGTGACCCCCGTAAAGCAGTGACGTGCGGTACCTCTGGTTCCGGGTGAGGCATTCCCCAGCCTCGGCCCCCGCCCCCTGCCGGCCAAAGCCCCGCCTCCAACCTGGTCCCCCCAAGCTAGTGTAAAAGGAGACAGGGAGGAGCCTCCCTGTCCCTCACTTGCTCGTCACTTCTGAGGCATCGAGATCGATGGCCCCAGTGGGGGTTTTTTTTGTTGATTGGACAGCTTGGACCAATGGCAGACATGAAGCTGGCAGCTTTTTCCTCCATAGTGCAGGGGGGAGGGGAGGAGGGAACCAGAGGAGAGAGGTAAGTGCAGGGGGGAGCTGCTGGTTACCTCTCTCCGGCGTCCTGCCCAGCTCACGGACATCACTAGTTGACAGGAGCTAGGTGGGATGCCGGCCAGAGCGTCTCGCTCAGCTAATGGCAACCAGTGACGTCAGTGAGTTGGGCGGGACGCTCCTGACAGCCAGTGACGTCAGTGAGTTGGGGTGGGACGCTCCTGGTAACCAGCGACGCAAGTGAGCTAGGGGGTCGCTCCTAGCAACCAGTGACGTCAGTGAGTTGGGGTGGACGCTCCTGACAGCCAGTGACGTCAGTGAGCTAGGGGGTCGCTCCTTGAGCGCAGTGAGTTGGGCGGGACGCTCCTGACAGCCAGTGACGTCAGTGAGTTGGGGCGGGTCGCTCCTAGCAACCAGTGACGTCAGTGAGCTGGGTGAGATGCTGGCCAGAGTGTAACAAGTTAATATCTTAGCAACCTGAGGCGCGCTGGCCAGAAAGGGGGCAGTGTGGGGGAGGCGTGACCCAAAGAGATGCCACCTGCGGCAACCACCTCAGCCTGCCTCATTATGAGGACGGCCTTGAGTCAGGCATCTCTTAGTCGCTGGTGAGTGACATTTTGCAGCATTTTGTGTTAGGTAGGAGGAGGGTGAGCTGAGTAGGTGGCGTGGCAAACCCAATGGCGTGGAGGGCCAGCCAGTGACCCCCTCACAAAAGTTTGGACCTAGCGGCTTGCTGACCCCTGGTCGCAGCCCCTAGGTTCACCCAGCTCCAACGTGTGGAGCCTAGCCTGAGGAGAACAGCACAGAAGTGCATAGGTAGTACTCATGAGACAAGAACCATGCCCTGGAGATGAAGCTGAAACAGAAAGCAGTCCAAGGGTTGGGGCGGGCAAGAGACAAGAGAATCCCAGGGAAAGAGCCAAGGTTGGTACTCGAGGAGCCAATCAAACAGGTAGGAAGCATAGTCACTGGGAAGGAGCTGGGGGGGCAAACTGGAATGTTGCTGGGGCACTGGAAGGGACATCCTTTAAGTGACTCACTCAACCAGTCAACACGGGACTGACACATGGAGACAAGTCTGTATTTTTTCTGCACTCTTTAATGTTCCTTGCCAGTGACAGGATCCTTTAATTTTTATGTTCTGCTGGAGTGAAAGAAGCTCTGCCGTAGCCAACACGAAAAAATATTGCTCCAATAAGTCCGATTAGGTTGGATAATGGTTGTTAAAGCTGAACTCTGGGTAAGGGAGGAGGGCGAGCTTGGCTCGGAGGTGGGCTTTAATCATTCAGAGCTATCTGTACAGTCTCAGCGCACTTCCCTAACAGGTCCTCTTTACACTCTTTTTAGGGTTTTTGAAAGAAGGGATCCTGGTGACGGACAAGAATCAGATCACTCGTCGGTACCTGATCTCCTCCGAGTTTCGCTGGGACCTCCTTTCCGTGCTTCCGACCGACTTGCTTTACTTCAAGTTTGGCATCCACACTCCGGCCGTGCGAATTAACCGTTTCCTGCACTTCCATCGGCTCTTCGAGGCCTTTGATCGCACTGAGACGCGAATCCCGTATCCCAATGCCTTCCGGATCTGCAAACTGATGGCCTACATCTTTGTGGCCATCCACTGGAATGGCTGCGTTTATTTTGCCCTGTCCAGCTTCATCGGGTTTGGCAAGGACCAGTGGGTGTACCCCAACATCTCCGACCCCGAATTTGGCAGGCTGGGGCGTCAATATCTCTACAGCTTTTACTTCTCCACCCTCATCCTTACCACCGTGGGGGACGTTCCTGCACCCATGCAGGAGGAGGAATACCTTTTCATGGTGGCAGACTTCCTGATTGCTGTTCTGGGGTTTGCCACCATCATGGGGAGCATCAGCTCGGTCATCTCCAACGTGAACGACGCAGACAAAGCCTTCTACCCCGATTATGACCAGGTCAAGCAGTACATGAAGATGTACAAGGTAAACAAAAGCCTGAAGAAGAAGGTCATTGCCTGGCACCAGCACCTTCAGATCAATAAGAAGCTGACCAACGAGAACCTGATATTGAAGAACCTCCCTGAGAAGCTGAGGGTGGAGGTGGCCGTCAGCGTCCACTTGTCCACGATGAGCAAAGTGCAGATCTTTCAGAACTGCGAGAAGGGCCTGCTGGAGGAACTGGTGCTGAAGCTGAAGCCTCAGGTCTACAGCCCCGGGGAGTATGTGTGTAAGAAGGGTGACATTGGACGTGAGATGTACATTATCAAAGAGGGGAAGTTGGCGGTGGTGGCAGATGATGGCGTGACGCAGTTTGTTGTCCTCGGCGAAGGGAACTACTTTGGAGAGATAAGCATCATCAACATCAAAGGTATGCAATGGCTTTAGCTTCTGTAGCAAAGCTCTACCCAAAATTGGTCCACTTTTCTTTGTTTTAGTGCCGTGTTTCCTAAAAAAATCTTTCTGGGTCCTTGGTGGGGTTTCCGGGTTATATATCTAACAGAGAGGTGAGCAGAACTGCAATTAAAAACGCACATAAAGGGTATGTGAAGCTTTAACCTGCCAAAGGGTTTGTATTCCTGTCCATCCAGTTCTGAGATATACCCAGATATACACAGCTCTGTCATATAGCGCAGTCCTGTCTGGCAGGGAAGAGGACCTGATTTATCTCAGCTGCAGTTCAGTAACACATACAGGTCTCAGCACCAACATTTATAAATCAACCATCATCCATCATCAACCATCGTCCACCATCATCATCAACCATCATCCACCATCAACTATCATCCACTATCATCATCATCCACCATCATCAACTATCATCCACTATCATCATCATCCACCATCATCAACCATCATTATCATCCACCATCATCATCATCAACCATCCACCATCATCATCATCAACCATCATTCACCATCATCATCATCAACCATCATCCACCATCATCATCATCAACTATCATCCACTATCATCATCATCCACCATCATCAACTATCATCCACTATCATCATCATCAACCATCATCATCATCAACTATCATCCACTATCATCATCATCAACCATCATCCACCATCATCAACTATCATCCACTATAATCATCATCCACCATCATCATCCACCATCATCAACTATCATCATCATCCACCATCATCAACCATCATCCACTATCATCATCATCAACCATCATCCACTATCATCATCATCCACCATCATCATCAACCATCATCCACCATCATCATCCTAGTGATAATATTCCTGTGCTCGCTGTTCAGGTAACACTTCTGGGAATCGCAGAACGGCAAACATTAAAAGCATCGGCTACTCCGACCTCTTCTGCCTCTCCAAGGAGGACCTGAAGGAAGTCCTCACCGAGTACCCCGATGCCAAAGCCATGCTGGAGGAGAAAGGGCGGGATATCCTACTCAAGATGAACAAGCTGGATGAGAAGCTGGCAGCCGCCCTGGAGGCCAAGCAGCAGGAGATGGAGGAAAAGGTGCAGAGGCTGGAGGCCAACATGGAGTCTCTACAGACCAAGCTGGCCCGGCTCCTGGCCGAACTGGAGTCCAGTGCCGGAAAGATCCTTCAGCGGATTAAACGCCTGGAGTGGGAGATCAGCTTGTGCGAGGAGGCGGCCACAGAAGACAAACCCACCGATAGGCCAGGCGGCGAAGAGTGACACAACGATGAAAGCCATCATATGGAAGGGTCATGTGGTGTGCTACCATCCAAGTGCAAACATAACTTGGGGGGGTGAAGAAGGATCATGGAGCATGACTGGCCTACAAAACATTCAAGAAACTGAATTACTAAATACAACTAAGAAATACTGCAGATGTTATAAGGTTAGCAAAGTCAACTGAATGGCTCAATGTCATATGCCCCTGGGTGGGTCTGTTCCATTAGGTCACATGACTACAGCTTAACCCTGTGAGAGGCAGCCAGTAGAATACAGTGGGCGGGGCTGGGACTACCATTCTAGTATCTTTATAGGGGTGAGCAACTGGGGTTCCCAAAATAAAAGCAAGAGGAGAATTCCAAAACCTGGGGAGGCCTAGCGGACTTCAACCCTACAACCTAGATTAATAAAACTGAGTGTATCCATGTATGAAATGTAAGGTCCCATGTCCGGTATTTGGTAGATTGTTAATCAATAACAGCCACCCATCCATCACAAGGACCAATGTGCTACAAGTCTCACATGCACCCTATTCTGAAAGTATCCCCATCACTCTGGATTTAAACGGAAGTTGTCCTGGTATGATCACCTGTTATTTACCCCATACACTTTTACCCCACAGTATCTCCCCTACACTATAATCCCCCC